ATCCCACCCCACCCCCCAAAACTCTATCAATTATCATCATCATTAATGGCATGCTTCCAAAACAGAACCTCTAAGAGACACACTGTATTCTGGATCTCCTTTTTTTCATTAGTGGGAGTCCCATAGATTGGGTTGTCTTGTCATCCCTAGGGAATTTTTTTTTTTTTTCCGAAAAAGGTCCAAATATGACATTGAACTATGTAAAATTAGACGAATTTGTCCGTCGTTAATACTTTGCACAAACATACTCGTACCATCCAATACTTGTTCCAAATATATCCTTATTTTAAATGGCCCCATATGGAAGGTATATGGTCTCACGCACATACTTTGAGAACATATTTGGCCCATTAATTAAGTTCTTAAGCTTTTATATTATTGAATTATCTTGTTTAATTTGATTTAGGACAATATAATGAAAGTTTATAATGATAAAATTTCCCTCAAATCGATTGTTTTCCTTCTGTAAAATCTTAATACAAACAAAGAGAAGCAAAGTGTAATAGAATCTAAACCAGTGTTTTCAAAAATTCATGTAAAGGTGATTATTTAACGGGTCGAAGCAGGTTAAATCAAATAAATGGGTTATGATCAAAATTTGTTCGGGTCAAAATAGATTATAATCCAATCCGATCACATGACCTAACTTCCATTCTTTTTTAAATTTTCTTTTTGAAAAATAAAGTGAAAACTAATGCATATTTCTTAAATTATTAGTTATAATTCATTCAAGCTTACATAATTCCAAATCTCCATGTTTGATTTTGCATGTTTATGTTAGGGTTGCATTTAACCCGTTTGTTCACACTAAATGATTCTCCCTCCGTTCACTTTTACTTGGCATGTATACTAAAAATAGATTTTCATTTTTACTTGTCACTTTACGCATATCAAGAGAAGATAATTTTTTTTCCTGTTATACCCACAATATTTATTACTCATTTCAAATCATTTTCTAAAATCCAATAAAATATGCATCAATTAATATGGATATCATGGTAAATTATACAATTCATTTATTATTTCTTAAGAGGCGTGAAAAGTCAAAGCGTATCAAGTAAAAGTAAACGGAGGGAGTACATTTTAATCCAATTGTTTGATGGGTCATTTCGAGTTTCATCCCTTGAATCAAGATAACAATCAAATCATATTCAACCCTCTCAACTAAAATAAATTACTGTAAAAAATGAATTAACTTTCCCATCTAAAGGAAAGGATTTTCTTCCTATTTCTTTTCTTTTTCGATTTTGGGAGAAAGGAGAATGTGGGAAACAACCCAAAACATTATTAGAAGGTAAAAACAGTTGACATAACATCTTTTAAGGACCCCATTGTGGGGTCATATGAAAAAACTCACTCTTCTTTTGGCTATATTTATACCTCCCTAACTCTAAGAACCTAAGCATCGATCATCACAATACCATTTCTCCTTTTTTGAGTTTCTCTTAACTAATTAGCCCTATTACTTCATTCCTTTTTTTTAAGCGTCTGCTTTTCTAATGGCAGATACGAGTGGTTCAGCCACTAGTAAGAGAATGGGGTTTGCTATGCCTGAGAAAATGCAACTGCACTTGGCCATGTTGGCCTTGCAGTTTGGTTATGCTGGTTTTCATGTTGTCTCTAGAGCTGCCCTTAATATGGGCATTAGCAAGATTGTCTTCCCTGTTTATAGAAACATTCTTGCTTTGCTTCTACTTCTTCCCTTTGCCTATTTTCTTGAAAAGTATGTCACTTGATCTTAGCTTTCTATTTTTCTGCGTTAGTACTTCTGACTCCGCCACTGATTAAGATCACGACTTGAAAGTAACAACTCGTGTTTTTTTTATTGATCAGGAAAGACAGGCCAGCTCTTACTTGGAATTTTGTACTTCAATTCTTCTTCCTAGCAGTTGTTGGGTAGGATATTATGATCTCATAAAATTTTACTTCAAGGCAAAAGAAAAGGATAAAATTCTAATCTCATGATACTCTTGTTGAGTGTTAAGAATTAGTATTAACTACTAAGATAATTGACATATATATATTTTTTCCTTCTTTATAGAATTACTGCAAACCAGGGATTCTACTTGTTGGGATTGGACAACACGTCCCCTACCTTTGCTTCTGCCATACAAAATTCTGTCCCTGCCATTACCTTTCTCATGGCTGCACTACTCAGGCAAGTTCGCTCTTCATATTATTTTCCTAACCATGGACTTTGTAAAGAGTTTAACTTGATAGAGTAAAAACAAAATATAGTATCAGATCACCTAAAAAAATAACTACAGATATGTTCATAAAGAACGAAATTAATAATCAGAAAATAAGACATATTATCTATAATAACAGGTTAAAATGAATAGTGCAAAGAAATATTCTTTACACTATCAATTTAATTCTTTTCTATATAAGGTTACAACTCGTTTATAACATGCAAAATAAAATGTGAACATGAATATATCAGTCATGCACGAAGCACAAGCAAGCACTAAAGGCGAACCGGTGCACAAAACATCCCGCACAAGGTCCGGTAAAGGGCCACACCCTAATGGTGTAATGTATACATCCTATCTTAATGCAAGCATTAGTGACTGCTTCTACGGCTCGAACTCGTGACTTGCTGGTCGCACGGAGATAACTTTACCTTTTGCTCCAAGGTTCCTTCCGGAGGAATACAGTTGGAATACTAATATCGGTAAATCTTTTTTGATGAATTTCAGGATTGAAACTGTGAGACTGAACAGAAAAGATGGTATATCAAAAGTGTGTGGAACATTATTGTGCGTAGCTGGAGCTTCAGTAATTACTCTATACAAAGGTCCAACAATTTACAGTCCATCTCCACCATTACAAAGGACCTCAGTACCCATGTTGATGAATTTAGGAGATGCTAATGGAAAAAGCTGGACTTTGGGTTGCGTTTACTTGATCGGGCATTGTTTGTCATGGGCCGGGTGGCTCGTTTTACAGGCACCGGTTCTGAAAAAATACCCGGCCCGACTTTCAGTCACATCGTATCAGTGTTTCTTTGGAGTCATACAATTCCTTATAATTGCAGCTTTTTGTGAGAGAGACCCTAATGCTTGGCTTGTTCACTCTGGTGGCGAACTCTTTAGTGTCTTTTATGCTGTAAGTATTTTCAGTCTCTTTGTGTCAGCATGTCTCTCGTATTGTTTTTAATACTCATATTTTTAGCTGTGAAATTAAATGTCTGAAAAAATGACTGTCGCTCCGTTTCATTTTACATAATATTATTTGATTTAATATAAAGTCTAAAATAAAGAACTTTTGACCCCAAAATAGAAAAATTAAGGTTATTGAATTTTTAAACATTGAAAGGTGTCATTTTTTCAAAAATAATATCCTTTTCTTTTCACTTTATATAAACCTATTACTATTTGGGAAGTTGAACAAAAAACTTTTTGATCATGTTTTTTGAAATTATAACTATTGTGATTTATAATATTTTTATGTAGTTTCTATATATATAAATTTTATTCAAAAAAATTGCAAAATTTTATATCCAAATTCATACCGAAAATTAGTGGGTTTGACCTCTTCGAAAAGGTTCCCATAAATTGTATGGAGGAAGTAAAAAGAAAAAAGCACCACATACTTTTTGGTGGCAAAGCTTGTTACTAGTAATTAAGTTGAAGGCTAATTCCAGAGGACGGACTAAAATTTCATTTGGAAAAATTCATGTGACATGATAAGGTGATTAGTCAACATAAATAATTGGATCTTTGCAATCTTTTCCCTACATTCATTCTCTTGTAGTTATGGCATACGACAACAAAATAAGCAGATGGACATATGGTTAGTTATAGATAGTGAAATGACAGCAAAACTTGTGTATTCATTTTTCCTTTTAAATTATTTATTTATCCTATGAAAATGAAGAGTCGAATTAATTGAATGCAGGGAGTGGTGGCCTCAGGGATAGCATTCGCTGTACAGATATGGTGCATTGACAGAGGTGGCCCAGTTTTTGTTGCCGTTTATCAACCTGTTCAGACTCTTGTAGTTGCTATTATGGCTTCCGTCGCTTTGGGCGAAGAATTCTACTTGGGAGGGTATATTATAGCTCTTATTCTCTGTTTATACTGTCTATACTGTCAGCAGCGTATATAAATTAAACTATTAGTTATATTATTTTTATGTCTTACTGTTAAATCACCGAAGTTATACACATTTTCCTCAATCATGCATTTGTGAAATGACCCCACAATGCACATTCCTTCACCCCACATGTAGTTAGGTTTATTGATCATGGATATATATGTATTGACCTTTATTTTGTACTAAAGAATCACCCAAAAACTTCCCAACAAATCTTTTTGGGTCCATCAATCTTTTAGACTAATATGCTAAAATACACAACTAAGTGGTGGTTTGGCACATGAGATAAAGATAATAATTTCGGGACTAATTTTGGGATTAACTTTATTTCATGTTTGGTTTCTAATATTAGCTAATATTAGAATAACTTTTACACTAAAATAGTGAATTATCCTATATAGAAGGTGAGATAACTAATCCCATGAGATATGACAAAAGGGTTGTGCATCCATAGCACGGGAACTTAAAAAATCTTTTTAAAGGGCACACGTGATGAGTATGGCAGAGGGACTAGTTTACCCTATTGTTGACTTCACCAACCAAGGCTTCCATTCAGTACAGCTAACCATTTCATCTCTTCAACAAGTTTAGTAATTAGCATAACGGCCCTATTGTTCCGATGGAGAGAAGAACCTATGATTAGCTTTTCGGGAAATTTCCAAACGAACAATTTCAACGAAATCTTTTAATTTCTTATTTTACTATGTTAAACTCTACCCGTAGAGTAACAGAAATGGAGTTTCTCTTATTCGTATTCACAGCTACTCTAGGAGGAATCGGTGCTAACGATTTCATAACTATCTTTGTAGCTCCAGAATGTTTCAGTTTATGCTCCTACCTATTATCTGGATATACCAAGAAAGATGTACNTCCACCTCATGGGATATACCAAACAACCCCTAATAGTATGATATATTTGTTCTTTTAGTGGTTGCATGTAACTTAAGAAATATCAATTGGGATTATTTTGCAGGATCATTGGAGCAGTGTTAATCATAACAGGATTGTACTTCGTGCTATGGGGCAAAAATGAAGAATCCAAGTTTGCAAAGGCAGCAGCTGCTGCAATTCAGTCCCCAGTGGATCATTGTAACAACAGGCCAACTAGCCACATCAAATCCTCTTTGGCTCAGCCACTGCTTGCTTCTTCAACTGAAAATGCTTAAAAAAAAGTTTGCTGGAAACCAGGAAAAAAGAATCTGCTATCTACATATTAAGAAGGGGAAAAAAAAAAGAAAAAAAAAAAGAAGCTTTGGTGTGTTTATGCAAGTTTTGTTTTTTTTTTGTTTAGTTTAGGTGTTGTTTTCCTTTTTTCCCTTTTTAGTAGCTTTCCTCTCACTAGGAGAAGTGCAATTAAAGGGATGTGATGATTACTACTTTTGGAGTTGGATCTCAGCATGCAAATCCCAAGTTGGTTTTTATATGTTAATTAATTCTATGGTTCAATCTATGAATGGAAAAAAAATTATGACAAGAGTAAGCTTTTGCTTTTATCATTGCAATTAGTGGACCCCTTTTATTGCAAAAATGATAATTACATATTGTTAAAGAAGTATAAGGTGTCAGCAAGCTAGTTGATTTTTCACATAACATCGCAACCAAACACTTTTGTTGTAATGTGAGTGGCATGGAATTTAATTTATTGGTAATGTACCAAATGATCACTGCATAATATCTTCTGTTGATGAAGGTGTCAACTCCTCAAATAATCTTTGTTACATCAAGAGAACCTATGAATTGGAATTAATTATATAAAGTCCATAGACTACGTGACAAAAAAGACCTGTTGTTCTCTGTTCTTTTTTTGGATATTTTCTTCTTGGAAATGAGGGAGAATGCTAATTTAGCTATTTAATATTATATACCTAAAATTTGAAAGAACTAAAGAATATAGAAAATAAAACTACTATTTTACAAAATGTAGATACAAGATTGGAGTTGTAATTTAATTATTAGTTGATTTTCGGTTACATCACTGAGTGTGCGATTCATTCATCCTGTCATCCTTCATTAGATATTGGCAAGCAGGGACGGATTTAGGGGCGGATGTGAACGTTAAAAAATTACATTGTATATACTTTTCTCGGTCACTTTTACATACGTTTTGATTTTTTACGCCCCTTAAGAAATAATAAATGAAGTGCATAATCTACCGTGTTACTCATATTAATTAATGCATATTTTATTGGATTTGAGAAAATGATTTGAAATGGTAATTAATATTGTGGGTAAAACAGGAAAAAATTTGCTGTCTTCTCTTGATATGCGTAAAGTGCCAAATAAAGTGAATATCTATTTTTAGTATACATGTCAAATAAAAGTGATTGGATGAAGTATAAGATAAAATCTATTTTTTACTTTAATATATTATGTTTTGAATCTTTTTAATACAGTCCAAAAACATAGCTTATTGGTCAAGGCCCAAAAAAATTTAAAAACTTTGTGAGGTCATTGGTTCAATTGTCACTAGTCACAATCTTTTTTATTTTTTTACCTTTTGACTTTTTTGAACTCCTCAACGGAAATTCTCAGTAATACTTAATAAAACGCAAACACGTGCAAGCACTAAAAGGAAGTAACAAAGGGCTAAAGTAAAATTAATTAATTACTAGATCCCAAGATGATGATATGATTAAAGAGTGTCAAATTTAATCATATAGTTTGCAGTGGTACAGCATTTTTCAAAAGTATATAGTATCAAATTTCATGCTTTTTTCCCTTTATTAATGATTTGAATGGCATCCAGCTACAATTTGCTCCATTGATATTTTCCCCGTGCTTTTCTTTTGTAGTAATTTCTTTTCGGCTCCTTTGATTTGATTATGTCTCCCATTTACGATGGTGTTAATTTATTTAAAGCTTCAGAAAAACACTCTTGTCTTCTTCACGGAATACTTTTAGCAAATCACAAAGCACTACACTCCAAATAAAGTGAAAACGACTAACTAGTAAAGCAAAAGCATATTGCGATGTTTTATTTAAGTCGTAGGCTTAATTCCAGTAAGTGGATACCCTACTTGAAATTAAAGAATCATGCCGAACATGATCTTATTGTACTTATTATTCTCCAAAGTTGAACACTCTTTTTCTCAACAAAAAAAGGCATTTTCCCACTACGGGAAATACATTAGGACCAGCTAATTGAAAAGATTTTTGTATTGAGAAAATTTGTAGGCTTCCTTAATTAAAGATGATCTCAACATCCTTTAGGGGAAAGAGTAGGCAACTTGATTTGTGAATATGTCACGTTTGGTGATTTGTTTTAATTTAATGAAGTAAGAAGAGAGTGAAAGAGAAAATAGTGACCACTATTAAGGAGAAAAAGAAGTGATCATCAGAAGTGACTTTTCCTCACGTCTAACAATTTTTTTCTACCACAACTGAGAAAATCTTTTCGAAAAACAAAAGATGGAAAAAGCATATATTGTACTTTTTTTTTATTTATCGGACATGATGTTTTAACTTCAATACCACACAAGAGGGGTGATTTGTGTGGTGTCCAATTTTTCGACAGATTATAGAAGGACTTGGTTCTTCTATGTGTTCCTTATACTACTCTTGCGGAATAATAAATGCAGAAATTAAAGTACACAAGGATTTTTACGTGAAAAATACCTGGCTCAAAAGGTGAAAAAACCACGACCTACTTCCGAGTAGGATTTTTCCAAAACTCTTCACTAAATCACTGAGTCAAAAACTGCATTTACAAAACACTTTTGTAAACCTAGGATTAACTCTAATCACGTTCTGGAAACCAGCCTTTAACTGCTGCGACAACTTCAAGTTAACTCTAACTTGAATACTCTGAGTACCTATTATAATTGTGTAACGACCCGGTCGGTCATTTTGAGAATTTAAGTTCCGTCCGGAGGCATAAGGCCCTGAGCAGCTTCATATTATGTGTATTGACTTGCGTGCGTGGTTGAATTCGGTTACCAGATGTTTCAGAGTGATTTGGGACACTTAGTCCCTAAAGGCATTTTTGCAAACAGTTCGCGTGTGATTCAAGTGTGCGAATATGAAGCTACATGAACCAGATAGAAGAACCAGTTCCAAGTGTCTGTCTTTTATTCTAGTTCAATTGTAGTAGGTGTTTTCATATTGTACCTTTCAGCTTTATCTAGAGGCAATTTGTCACGACCCAATTTCCCCTCCGTTTGGGTATCGTGATGGACCCTAGTCTTAAGGACTAGGTAAGCCTAATAATAATTAAAATAACAACATTATTTAAATAGAATCTCTTACAATTCCCAAAACCGGTAGTACAAATCATAAGCTCTACAGAGTGTTTGCAAAAAAAGAAAGTCTCTAAATACAATTGTCCAGAAATAGGAATAAACAGTGCAAAACGAAAACTTGAAGGTAACTCTGAAGCCTGCGAACGCATCGGTAGGCTTACCTTGAGTCTCCGCAGCAAAAGTCCACACGGCTAGCTAACGAACACTTTTCTGGATCTGCACAAAAGAATGTGCAGAAGAGTAGCATGAGCACACCACATCGGTGCCCAGTAAGTATCAAGACTAACCTCAGTGGAGTAGTAACGAGGAACAGTCAAGACACCCACTGGTCTAATAAACTGAACAGATATAAGTACATGAACAACAGAAGTATGATGTCAACATAAAGACTATGCAATATGGCTCACAGTACAGTAATGGCAATAAGAAAGGAAACAACAAGTATTAGTGGAATATCATGAAATGACACAGAAAGGTGAATGGAACACAACCTAAATCCGGAATCACAAATACAGCAAGGACAAGTAATAACTCAGCAACTACAACCGCTTTTACATCAGGTTTTAGTCAACAACTCCACGAGGTACCGAACCTCGAACAAATCACAACTCATAGGTCTCAATACCTGAACTCTAACACTTGGCATCTTGTGCCCTCATAACATCTCATAACCGCACTGACAACTCACGTGCCAATAGAGTCATTCTCACATAGAAGACAAGTAAACAAGGGTGAGCATCTATGCTCAATAATATCAAGAACACATCGTGTCCGATAAGAGTGCTTAACTACGTGTATGCTTGTGCAAGTGTACTACCATAGTCCATATCAGTAATTAAGCATAAGGAGAAAGAACGGATATCACGTAGAATATTTTCTCACTACTTTCACAAGATAAAGCTCACACAAGTACGTATACCACTATACAAATATCAACAACAAGAATGCNAAATACAAAGTACGACAAGTAAACCAATTCAAGAATTTTAAGTCACAAGGAACGGTAGAACCAATTCACAAGGAATAACCACAGTAAGGAATGCTAGGCGTACTGAGAACAACTCAACAAGGGAAAAACTAATATGTAGTAACGTTCCCACAATATATATTTCAATAACAGGGAGAGCTAACACGAGTCAAATAAATCCAAATAAAATACGTCAACTAAGATGTAGGATATCTAAAACTTCTTTTAAGGTTGAGGAAATTTCGAAGGATATTCAACAATTCAATTAAGGATAAGCAACGGAAAGATAATCATAATCTCAATAAAAACTGAACAAATTATAAGATGAGATAATAATAATTCCAAATAAAGATAAGCAGTTATGAAAAGATAGCATGACAATAGAGGAGGTAAAATCTTCAGTTAAGTCAAATAGGCAATAAGAGTAAATCCTGAAAACGATTAATTCTAATTAAAGCATGTAAAGGTGAAACTAGTAAATAGGAACTTAATCATATCAAGAACAACTCCATACTCAGTGAATATAAGGACCTAAGAATCCTAAAAGGCCAACTTTTCACAAATAATTCCGAGCACGCACTCGTCACCTCGCGTACTTGGACTACAATCAACATAGAAGACTCAAATCCTAAGGGGGAAATCCCTCACACAAGGTTAGGCAAGATACTTACCTCGAATCAAGCTCAAACAATCGGTCACAATGCCTTTTCCACGAATATCCGGCTCCGAATGGCCCAAATCTAGCCAAACACAATTGCATAACATGAATACAACAATAATAGACTCATCTAATCAATGAAATCAATATTTTAACAAAAATTCCGAAATTTGCCCTAAAAAGTCGACTCGGGCCCACATATCGGAATTGGATAAAAATCACAAAATACGAACACCCATTCACTGACGAGTCCAACCATATAAGAATTACTCAATTCCGACCACAAATCCCCCTTCAAAACTCAAAATCTTTATTGAATAAGTTCTTCCAATTTCTCCCAATTTCAACCCCAAAAATCTGAAATTAAATGGAGGAACAACTATAGATTAATGCAATAAAATCAAATTCGAGTAAGAAATCGTTACCCACAAGATTCCTCTGAAAATCCCTCAAAGAATCGCCTTCTCCCGAGTTAAAAATCAAAAATGGAGTAAAAATAAACTAACCCACGATTTCAACCCCCTTCTGCCTAGCGATCCTCGCACATGCGACCATTTCTCGCACCTGCGCCTACCGCACTTGCGGTCTAACCAGTCGCACCTGCGGAAATCAC